GGAGAGATGGGAGGACAAAATTGGAAATCATTATGAGGAGAAAGGAGAGATGTGGAAATCGTTCAGAGGTCACAGGACAGTAGAGATTTAGAAATACTTATGAGGAGACAGGAAAAGGGAGATATAATTAAGTATTTATGAGAAGAGAGGATATAGGAGAGATGTAGAATTAATAATGCGGAAAGAGGAGGAGAGATGTGTTAACATTTGTGAGGAGACAGTAGGTATTTTGGAATACTTAGGCGTAGAGAGGGGATAGCAGAGAAGAGAGATTCCGAAATCGTCATCAGGAGATAGGAGAGAATTGGAAATCGTTATGAGGACATAGGAGGAGAGATCTCAACTTAATTAAGACGAGCGATGAGAGGCGAGAGATTTGGAAATAATTATGAGGAGAAAGGAGAGATTTGGAAATCATTAGGCAGAGAGAGGTTAGAGGAAAGATTTAGAATTGATTATGTGGAGATAGGATGAGAGATCTGGAAACAGTTTTGAGGTGAGAAGAGAGACTGTGGAATACTAAACAGAAGAGAGGTGAGAGCAGAGAGCAGAGATTTTGAAATCGTTACGAGGACACAGGAGATGGGAGATTTCGCAATCGGTATGAGGAGAGAGGATAGAGGAGAGATTTAGAACTTACTATGTGGAGATAGGATGAGAGATTTCAAAACACTTGTGAGGTGAGACGAGAGATTGTGGAATACTAAACAGAAGAGAGTTCAGAGGAGAGAGCAGAGATTTTGAAATCGTTATCAGGACACAGGGGATGGGAGATATCGAAATGGTTATGAGAAGAGAGGACAGAGGACAAATTTAGAATTAATTATGTAGAGATAGGATGAGAGATCTGGAAACAGTTGTGAGGAGAGGGGAGAGATTGTGGAATACAAAAGAGAAGAGGGGTGAGAGCAGAGAGGAGAGTTTTGGGAATCTTTGTGAGCAGATAGGAGAGATTTGGAAATCGGTATCAGGACACAGGAGACGGGACATTTCGAAATACTTATGAGGAGACAGGATAGAGGAGAAATTGAGAAGCAATTATGCGGAGAGAGGAGGAGAGATTTGTAAACATTTTTGAGGAGACAGTAGAGATTCTGGAATACTTATGAGGAGGGAGGTGATAGCACACAAGAGATATTTGGAAATAGGTATGACAAGATACTAGAGAGCTCAAATTAATTCAAAGGAGAGATGAGAGGACAAAATTGGAAATCATTATGAGGAGAAAGGAGAGATTTGGAAATCGTTATGAGGACAGAGGTTAGAGGAAAGA